TTTGTGCTCCCTCTCAGGTAGCTGCCTCTCGGGATACGTCCCAGCTTCTACTTCATGTGTCAATGTTAGGCCTCAAAGTCAACTTGGCAAAGAGTTGTCTGGTTCCATCTCAGACAACCACCTTTCTTGGGATGCATCTGGACTCTGCTACCATGATGGCCCGTCCATCTGTTCACAGGGTGGACAACATACTCCAGCTTGTCCGTCGATTCAGACTGGGCAGGGAGTTTCCCTACATCACCTTCCTGCGAATGCTGGGCAAACTGACATCAGTCACTCGTGTCGTGCCCTTAGGGCTGCTCCTTCTGCGTCCTTTGCAGCGATGGCTCAACAGCTTTCGCCTAGACGCCAGGCTGCACAGGCATCGCAGGCTAATGGTGACCAGGAGCTGCCTCCATGCCCTAGCTCCTTGGCGAGACGGGACCCTTTTGTCCAGTGGTGTTCCAATGGGGCTAGTAGTGTGTCGAAGGGAGGTGGTCACCACGGATGCCAGCCTCATGGGCTGGGGTGCCGTGTGGCAACACAGAGCTGTTCGGGGTCTCTGGGACCCAAGGGAGCGCACCGAACACATAAATGTGCTGGAGCTGCGGGCTGTGCACATGGCCCTCAGGTGCCTTCTGCCCCACCTAGAGGGAAGGAACGTGCTGATTCGGACAGACAACACCTCTGTTGTTTATCATATAAACCACCAAGGTGGCACCAGGTCAGCACGTCTCTTGAAGGTGTCGAGGGATCTCCTGGAATGGGCGTATCCCCGTCTGTGTACCCTGCGCGCAGCGTATCTGCCAGGACGGCAGAACCAGGTTGCGGACTCTCTATCCCGCCAGGCACCTGCTCCGGGAGAGTGGTCTCTTCACCCCGACGTAGTGCGCATAATCTGGAACCTCTTTGGGCAGGCAGAGGTAGATCTGTTCGCCACAGAGGAGTCGACCCATTGCCCCCTATGGTATTCCCTAACCGGGATGGCGGGCGCACTGGGCCAGGATGCACTGGCTCATCCATGGCCGCAGGTTCTCCTGTATGCCTTTCCACCCCTCTCACTGGTTTGGCCGACTCTACGGAGGGTTCTCGAGCAGGGCCACAGAGTGTTGCTGGTAGCTCCGTTCTGGCCAGCGCGGCCGTGGTTCCCGCTGCTTTGGAGTCTGTGTCACGGTACTCCATGGCGTCTTCCAGCAAGGAGGGATCTGCTGTCTCAGTTGGGGGGACAGATATGGCACCCCAACCCTCAACGTCTCCAGCTGTGGGCATGGCCCCTGGGAGGCTGACTGGGTGTTCAGACACCGTGAGACACACCATATTGAGTGCTAGGGCTTCCTCCACTCGGCTGCAGTATGCTAACAGATGGCGCCTCTTTTCTCAGTGGTGCTCTGCCCACAATGAGAACCCGCTTTCCTGCTCGGTGCCCACTATTTTGGAGTTCCTCCAGTCTCTCCTTGATAAGGGCCGCTCTCCTTCGACCCTTAAAGTGTATGTTGCAGCAATTTCATGTCTTCACCGAACTGTTGACAACCGTACAGTGGGGCGCCATGAACTGGTTTCACTTTTTCTGCGTGGTGCTCGTAGGTTGTGCCAGCGGCCAGCCCCACGAGCCCCAGATTTGGATCTGCCATTGGTTCTCACAGCTCTGTGCCACCCTCCATTCGAGCCTTTGGCACAAGCAGAACTCAAGTGGCTTTCCTGCAAGGCTGCTTTCCTGATGGCTATCGTCTCAGCTAAGAGGGTCAGCGAGCTACATGCTCTTTCTGTCAGCCCTAGGTGTATCAGGTGGAATCCAGATGGCTCTGGTGTTACCCTGTGGCCTAATACTGCGTTTGTGCCTAAGGTGTTGTCTCCTTTTCACCGTAACCAGCCATTGCGGCTCGCTCGGTTTCAGCCTCAATCTGGTACAACTGAGAATGAGTCGGAGTTGTTGTGCCCGGTAAGAGCGTTGGAGGCATACATTGCAGCCACCGCCAATCTGAGACGCTCGGACCAGCTTTTCCTATGCTATGGGGGTCCAAGGTTAGGCTGTCCTCTTTCTAAACAGCGTCTGTCCCATTGGATTGTGAGTGTCATCTGCCACGCCTACGCTGCAGGTCACTGCTCCCTGCCAGTCGGTGTGAGAGCACATTCCACCAGGAGCGTCACCGCTTCCTGGGCTGCTTTGAGAGGGGTTCCGCTGGAAGCTATATGTGCTGCTGCTTCATGGGCTTCCCCAACCACCTTCACCAGGTTCTACAGTGTCAATGTGGCTGCCCCTCATCCCCTGGGTCAGGTCCTTTTACAAGGTTCTGCTGGGCCTCCTCTGTGAGGTATGTGCTCAGGATTCCTTGTGACATCGTTGGCATTAGTCATTCAGTGCTTTCAGCACCGCCCTCTGGCGGTCAGTAGGGATGAAATAGAACGAAAGTTACGTGTGTAACTACGGTTCTATGAATCCCGGATGACCGCCAGAGCTTCTCTGTCACTCAGAATCCTTGCTTTTGCGAGAAGATTCTGTAGGAGCAGAGCAAAGGATGACACCAGGCTATATAGCTTCTGAGTGGTCATCCGGTGTCACAGGTGTGACTCTGTTGGTATAATTACTCGAACTGCGCATGCCCGAAGGGAACATTCAGTGCTTTCAGCACCGCCCTCTGGCGGTCATCCGGGATTCATAGAACCGTAGTTACATACGTAACTTTCGTTTTAGCCATGGAGAAAACTCTTGGCTGGAGACAATTTTGGTTACATTTACACTTGCTCATTGTCGCTACCCGATCTATACCGGTAGCACGATCCGTACCATCAGCTCATTTGCGCCTGCGCGAACAGAATAACTTCCGGGTCGCCAAAAAAATACTGTAATTACGGTACTGAAAAAACTTATTATTTATATCCTTAAATAATTAAAGAATACTAAACTACATCGTAAAGACAATATTGAAGACTTTTCTGAAAGAAATGGATGCTTTTTAAATTCAATCTATTGTATTGCTTGACGTCATCATCAGACATGCTAAGAGCAGTCTGGGAATATATTATTGCGTAACGTTTATCTGATGCACTCTATGATAGAGTGAATGCACTATTATTTTTTTATAGTACAGAGTAAATCAAATATTTAAACAAATTTAAATATATACGCTGTGTGACGTATATTTGCGCATGCTCAGAGCAGTCAAAGTAACTATCACAAGGCGATTGAACTTTTTTATGTATTTCTGTTTTTTTTTTTTTTAGAAAATGCAATATTGACGAAAATACAAAGATATACAAAAAGAAACCCATGCCTCTAAAAAATACAAAAGAATAAAAAAGTAAGAAAAAGGAAATATTGCCACCGGACGTTATTCTGTTTGCGCACGCGCAAATGAGCTGATGGTACGGATCGTTCTTCCGGTACGGATCGGGTAATGACACTCATATTTTCCAGACAAAAAGTTAATGTTGCATCTCCCAAATGTCTCGGACGCAACAACTTTTTTTATTGGTTCCGCTATCGGGACGAAACCAATAATAGCGAGCCGTTCTTTATTATTAAAAAAATAAATAAAAAAAATTTAAATTTTAATGTTTTATTTAGACTACCGGTACAAAAATAAATCGTAATAAAAATAATCCTATTTATGATGTTTAAAAGAATTAAGACCTACGAAAGACTGATTTAAGACATTTTAATACCAATTAAGGCCTTAATTTTATTTTGAAGAAGTCAATGCCTTTTAAGACTTTTTAAGGACCCGCGGGAACCCTGCTCTCAAACCAAGGAAACTACATAATATAAAAACATTCAGAATGAAAATACTAAAGAGGATTTTATCCACAGTCTGAAGCAGACGGTTAGAAACAGCATTAAAGTTGTCCATCTATTATAAATGGTGGATGGCTTTAGAGGAATTACATCTCAAAGTATTCAAGAAGCCACAAATGTTTGCTGTTCTTCCAACCCATGAAAATGAACAATAATAACAAAAGTAATTCAGCGGATACCTGCAACGCCCCAGGCGACAGTCAATGTCAGAATCAGCAGCGGCTGCAGCAGAGTGTGGACTGGCAAGCAATCAAGTGTTTAAGTCACCGCCCTGCTGATGCACATGCCAGGGAGGCCTTGTTAAGAGCTCAGACCTCCATCTATCCACCTGGGAGGTACGAGTACTCACCCTTGAAAAAAAAGCTCATCTTGGCCCTCCCGGCTGCTTTTCAGCTTGAGTTATTGCTCCACGCACGCAGAGGATTCCTGAATGTAATCAAGCGCTTCCTCTGTCGATAGGGGCGCAGAGCACCATTTCATCCCTGATATGTCACATCTTACAGCCACTCTTGGCAGCTCATAGCTCATATGTCACAGTCTATTTCACAAGAACGATGATCTTCAGCTATACGAGCAATGCAAAACCAAAACTACACACCTGCATGTTTATCTACATATTTAAAGTCAAATTAAAATACTTTTCTGTACATTTACATACTTAATATTCCCGTTGGACAGAAATTCAGCCATAGAGGGCGACAGACGAACAAGGCTGGTTGCCCCCCCGTCGCTACTCCACTCACGTATCAAGTCCTGGCCCCTTAAGCTTAGGTCCTAAAACCTGCTAGAGGTTGAGCCAAAAAGATATTGAAAGCGTGAGACAAAGAGCAGAGATATATATAAATATATATCAAATCGCTGTCCTAGAGTAAACTGCTTTAATATCCTCCGTGATTGAGGAAAGGAGGAGAGCGCTGGGTCTGACAGGAACCTGGACAGTCAGCAGGATTAACGAGCAAAAAGCCGGCAGTGAAGTTGAACGGCGGCGGCACTCAAACGAGCTCCGAGAAAGCGGCAAAGGAGGATTAAAGAAGGCAGAGAGGGTGGGCGCGAGCAAAGCTATCTGATTAATGATCTTAGCCGTGTTTGCATCTTCCAGCATCCAGCAGAAAATCTTTCAAACTGATAAGTTGTCTCTTTTTTCTCTTTGACTGCATTCATACAGAGACATGGTGAAATGAAGGATGAGCTGGCCCCAATAAATAAAAAAAATAATACAAAAACTTACCAGTGCGGTATGAGTCCAGGTCTGTATTCTTGGCAGTAGCAGAGGTGTGTGTACGGGAGTCAAGCTCTGATTGTGGAATGCGAGGGCTCTCCACAAACTTTGCTTTCCGCAGTGGGGCTGGGAGCAGAAAGCGCGCACACACACACATAAAGAGAAGGAGACAAAACACACACACACACATACAACAGGGAGATGGAGAAGGACAAGGAAAGAGAAGAGTGACAGGGACAGGGTGGGGTGGGGGGGGACAGAGAGCTTATGAACTCGGAGCAACACACTGATAAAATGAGAACATCCTGCAGGCTTTTCTATGAAGCTTTTGTTTTGCCTCAAGTGAGATAAATCTCAAGCATGAGTAAACAACGCAGAGCCTTGCAAACAGGAAACTGGCGCAGGAGAAACCAGCATCACCCTCGCATAACATCAGCCCACTGATGAAATCTAAAAATACCTACATACACCGTGTACCCTGGCCAACATTCACCTCCGAACAGAGAAACGGTCCAGGAAAGATGCACATAGCAGATAAAAAAAAAAGCATAAAGTGTCTTTGGTCCTTTTGGTGTCTAATGACACATGAGAACGACGGTGACGTCCACCGGCACGGATCTAAAGCGTCAAATGAGAAATTAACCGCAGGAAAAATGGTGGGAGGTGACAGCGTCATAATCATGAGGGAAAGAGAAAAGGTTTGCCGTACAGATTTTTATAAACGGCCTGAACTTTCGACTTCGATCCAGAGAAGAAAACATTTAGATCCTGATATTTAAAATGTTTGCATGAATTAAACTTCTTTGCATCTGCAGAGCAGATATCCTTATAAGGTGTAGAGCCATTCAGCTTCTTCTCTGTGTGCCTTCATATTCTAATCAACAGACTGCAGAGATCTATGGGTAACCTGACTCCGCCAGAAACCTTCCGTTGAAGTAATTTTGGGAAGGGGTGAAAATACTGGTTAGCTGATTGGCCTATGTTGGTGATAGACGGGCCAAATAAACCAATGAGATTAACGAAGCATATGACGTACTAACAGAGCGACGACGAAGAGGAGCCAATTGATAGATCAAACTCTTGCCGAAACCAGTTGGGAGAAGAGCAAAAACATCTTTTCCTCTGAGAAAAGCCTCCAGAGCAGCGTTTTGCTCTTCTTTCAGTGAAGAAATACTCTGTAATTCTGATAAAACTTGCTCGATAGCCACGCTAACGCTAGTTTCATCCGCTGAAGCCGCCATGTTCTTTAGACTGAACTGTCGCGCTTCTTGTTGCGTCACACCTCAATCCGCCTCAAAGCCAACGCTGATTGGACGTTCGTTTGGTGAACGACTCCAAAGTTTCTTTAACGGAGAGTCTCCAGACTGATTAGCGAGTGAAACCTTGAAAGCTCGCGAGATCAGGATGGTCTCACGAGGCTAATCTATGGGAGCAAAAACGATCTATCAAACCTGAAAGTGACGTTGAGTTTTTGCATTTATATATAACTTTTTATATGCTCCACTTATCTGGAACAGACTTCCAGAAAACTGTAAAAGTGCGGAAAGCCTGAGCTCCTTTAAATCAAGACTAAAAACACATTTGTTTAGGATTGCCTTCGACTGTTCTAGTTAAACAGTTCAACAAAAACATATTTTCTTTAGTCCAACTGTTTTAAATATTTTTTGTTTCTGCATTATTTTATTTTATTTTTTTTATTTTTGAATGTTTTCCTACTTGCTTTGATTCTGTTTTATCTTCCTGTATTTTAATCATGTAAAGCACTTTGCATTGTCTTTGTACTGAATTTTGCTATACAAATAAATTTGCCTTGCCTTGCCTTGCCTTTAGAGGTCTTCACTGCCACAGACAGAGCCTCCCTTTGTTTGCAATATTTTGGGTCAAGCGGCTAATTTTGAGGCGTTCGTGCTCAGCAAAAACAATCTAGAAATCAGCACAAATGTCTTACATTAAGTGTATTTAACCTTAATTTGAGTAATTAAATAAGATAATTTGCCAATGGAATGAGTATTTTACTCTAAAAATAAGATAATTAGAAAATATGCACTTGAAATAAGACAAGGCAATTGTTTTTTTCTTATTTTAAATGCAACACTGGAAAATTGATCTAGAAATAAGTAAACAATTCATAAATTAAGTGTATTTACCCTTAATTTGAGCAGGTAAATGAGGTAGTTTGCCAATGGAATGCGCATTTTTACTCTTAAAATAGGATAATTTGATAACATGCACTTGAAATAAGACAATCCAATTGAGTTTTCTTATTCTAAATGTAAATTGTCTTGTTCAATTGGCAACATTTCTCGTTTACCTCCTCAATTTAAGAAGAACTGCACTTATTTTAAGAAAAGATTACTTATCTAGATTTCGATTTTTTTCAGTGTAATAAAGCCTGCACTGCAGAAACCACCTAAAAATTAGAAAAAAATTCTTAAATTAAGTGTATTTACCATTAACTCGAGTAGGTAAATAAGATAATTTGCCAATGGAATGAGTATTTTAAGTCTTAAAATAAGATAATTAGATAATATGCACTTAAAATACGACAAGGCAATTGTTTTTTCTTAAGTGTCTCACTTACCTCCGCAATTCAAGAAAAAAATGCACTTATTTCAAGAAAAAAAGACTTAATTAATCCAGCTGTTTAGGGGATAATCTGCTCCTTTTTAGACAGAGGGGGGTCTGAGGGAGCCTTTTACTCGATTTATGATCAATATAGGCCTTGTAGGGTTGCGAGGGGCCCTGGTTTCTAATGCTGCGTTCACACCGGGGGCAGCAGGCGCAGCAGAAGCAGCGAGTTTACATGCAAAGTCAATGGTTGACGCGCGTCAAGGCGCAGCAAAGGCGCAGCAAAAGGCGCGGCGCGTTTTGAGCAGCAGCTGAAGCAGCGCGTCGGGCGCGTTTTAGCATCTGACGCGCGTGACGCGCCGCAAACGCGTTGCTGCTCGAGATGGAAAAATTTAATTTTTGCTGCTCGACGCGCCGCGTCAACCAATCAGAGAAGCTGATCTGGGAGCTGGCTGGGAGAGAGACACAGCGCTGATGACACAGACCGCTCTGATTACTTTTCTTAAACAGTTTATTAACGGATAATTAACTTAAAATATATACATCTGCCGGCAGAATATGTTCGCTTTTATTATTCTGGTGCCTGCAGATCGGATTATTTAGATGAAAAACACCTACCAGCCGCCGCGGTAAACCGCGAGGAGGCGACCCGCCAGAGGCTGCTGATGAAGGGCTTCCTTCTGTCGGCACACCGCTGGTATGTGGGGGTCTGAGCGGCTCCGACAGAAAAAACATTGGGAGGCAGGATGATAATCTGAATGAACTGACGGCACTGATTACGTTTTCAGGTGTATTTTCTCACTTAAAAACATATTAAAACTACTTTATTCCCACTGATCACAGCAAATATAGCTGCAAGGCAGAGAAAGGATAGTGAAGCTCCGCCCAACGCGCGTCAGACACACTTTTGCACCGCGCAGCCAGAGCAGCAAAGCTGCTTCAGCCGCGCGTCAGAACTAACTGGTACAAGCAGCAAAAATGAAGCAGCAGACGCGATTTTGCTGCTTTTGCTGCGTCCGGTCTGAACGTAGCATAACTTCAGCTGTGTATGGGTTGCCGGTTCGTCGCAGGGAAAAAGCATGACAGGAAAATGGAAAAGTTTGAAAAGTTTTGCTTTTTTATTCCTAGCTTCTGCACAGCTGCTTACACTGGAAAAACAATCTAGAAATAAGTAAAAAAATGCCCTAAATTAAGTGTATTTACCCTTAATTTAAGTAGGTTAAACTGATGGTTTCCCAGGGGAATGAGTATTTTTACTCTTAAAATAAGATAATTAGATAATATGCACTTGAAATAAGACAATGCAATAGTATTCTTATGTTAAATGTAAATTGTCTTGTTCCATTGGCAAAATGTCTCTTTTACCTCCTCAATCCAAGAACAAATGCACTTATTTTAAGAAAAAAATGACTTATCTAGATTGATTTTTTTCAGTGTAATAAAGCCTGCTGCATGTTTGCTAATCACTTATATGATATTTTGAATGTCCACTTAGTACTGCAACTCTTTAATCTTACTGTAAAACAGCAGATTTTCGCTTTGAAGCATCTTCTCTCTTACATCGACTCTGTTTCTAATGTAACCAACGACCAACGGCTCAAAGACTAATTGCGACAGCTGCTGTTGGGTTTAATCTTAAAAGGAAAACACATTTGCAATCAGCCAATAACAAGATCAGAGCTTTGTTTAGAAAATGTTTATATAAATGTCACAGATTATAACCATGTTTTTCATTTCAAGAAAATATTTTGCAGTATTCAAATGCTATAATGATGTTTATAGGTCTGAATAAGCCTTAAAAGCTTTAAATCACATATTTAAGACAAAACCAAACCCTAAAAGGACAGAACAGTTTATGGACACAGAGTCTGATCCTGTATGGAGGAACCAGAAAAATAATTCAATAAAGAAATAACGTATTAAAGGAAACTCAAAGAGGAGGGATTAGGGCCTCTTCTATACAAACCCTGACGTCTGATTGGCTAATTCTCACTGAGTGAGATAAGACAACTACTTCCTGGTTTTCTTTTACTTTAAAGTCCATTTTTAACTGTAAAAGTTGTAAAAGTTGCGGGAACCCTGTGTATATTTTGTAGGCCTTCATAGATCCTGATGTCGGATTTGTTGCTTTAATCCAGTCCAGCAGCAGTTTCTGATGCTCCAGGTTTCATCACCACTAATATGGCCAGATGTCATTTTTGACCCCAGAAAGTTAAATACGCTTTATGCAAAATGCTGCCTTTGGTGAATAAATAACATCCCACATCATCCTGAAAACACCATCGCCATGGTGACAGCATGGGGTGTTTAAAGCTATATGTTCCAGTTGACCATTGATGCTAACCCTCTTTATATGTATAAGAACACAGAAAGACCATTCTGTTGCCACGTTAATCCAGTAGACACAACAACGCTTACTCTAATCTTCACTGAATTTGATCATTTTTTAAATCAAAAGATTAGGACCGATGAAGCCTGGACTCGGTAATGATAAGCAGAGATTTATAAAAACACAGTTTGTGAACTAAAAAAGCTTTCTTTCTGTTTGTAAATTCAAA